CTAGCCTAGCCTAGCCTAGCCTAGCCTAGCCTAGCCTAGCCTAGCCTAGCCTAGCCTAGCCTAGCCTAGCCTAGCCTAGCCTAGCCTAGCCTAGCTTAGCGTAGCTTAGCGTAGCGTGCCTTAGTGTAGCCTAGCGTAGCCTAGCCTAACCTAGCCTGGCCTAGCCTGGCCTAGCCTGGCCTGGCCTAGCCTGGCTTGGCCTGGCCTAGCCTGGCTTGGCCTGGCCTAGCCTGGCCTAGCCTGGCCTAGCCTGGCCTGGCCTAGCCTGGCTTGGCCTGGCCTAGCCTGGCTTGGCCTGGCCTGGCCTAGCCTGGCCTGGCCTAGCCTGGCCTGGCCTAGCCTAACCTAGCCTAGCCTAGCCTAGCCTAGCCTAGCCTAGCCTAACCTAGCCTAGCCTAGCCTAGCCTAGCCTAGCCTAGCCTAGCCTAGCCTAGCCTAGCCTAGCCTAGCCTAGCCTAGCCTAGCCTAGCGTAGCGTAGCATAGCTTAGCGTAACGTAGCGTAGCGTAGCGCAGCGTAGCTTAGCTTAGCGTAGCTTAGCTTAGCTTAGCGTAGCTTAGCTTAGCCTAGCGTAGCTTAGCTTAGCCTAGCTTAGCTTAGCGTAGCTTAGCTTAGCTTAGCTTAGCGTGGCGGAGCTTGGCGGATCTTAGCGGAGCTTAGCGGAGCTTAGCGGAGCTTAGCCTAGCTTAGCCTAGCTTAGCCGAGCCGACCCGAGCCAAGCCGACCCGAAGATTAGATCAGCTTAGCTTAGATAAAGATTAGATTAGATTAGCTTAGATAGATTAATTAAGCTTAGCTAAAGATTAGATCAGCTTAGCTTAGATAAAGATTAGATTAGATTGGATTAAGCTTAGCTTAGATTAGATTAAGCTTAGCTTAGATAAAGATAAAGATAAAGATAAAGATAAAGATTAGATAAAGATAAAGATAAAGATTAGATAAGATTAGATAAGATTGAAGGTGAACGAGTGGGACGGAGTGGGACAAAAAGTGTGAGGAAGAGGAAGAACATAGATCGGAAGAGCGTGTAGAGTAGGAAGGGCGTGAGGAGAATGAAGAGTGTAATCTCTTCTGTGTCCGTACGACTCAAATAGAGGGGGGGAAAAAAACTGTCCAATTGATTGACAAACGTGTGCTTGAAGGCGTGAGCATAAAGAAGAGCGCGTAGAGGAGGAAGAGCCTGAGGAGAATGAAGAGGATAATCCGTGCAGGATGGTGGTAGTCCCTTCTATGTCCATCCAATTCGAACAGAGAGGGGGGGGGGAGGGGTTGGGGTGGAAGTCGACTTAATTCACAAATGGTGCTTGAAGAGGAGGGATAGAGAGATCAAGGGTATTGATCAAATTCAAACCGACGGCAAAAACAAGGTGTTCGCATGAAGGAAGGAGCGACTGAGGGCATCAGGTGGATGGAGTACACACACACACACACACGCACACACACACGCACACACACACACACACACACACACACACACGCGAGAGAGAG